GGGGATACGCCCACCGAAGGGAGGTGACAGCTCCCATAAGGTGTAGGTAAGTCGTGCCTCGCGTAGGCCCTATCCTGTCGTAGGGGCTCGCGAGAGGTATGGTTGGCGCACTCGGCCGGAGCGGCTTGTGGAAGCTCCATGAATATTGCGACGGAGGGTTATAAACCAACTCCTGCGTGACGCGGCCGGGAGGGTCCCGTGCTGCCCTAATGAGGTGCCGGACCGATGCGCTCGACAAGTGGCGTTGTTGCCGGGGATAACAGAAAGCCTACCGTTGTCCCTGGTGGAACGACATCCGGGTATGAGAAGTAAATAAGAAAAGGCATAAAGGAGTGATGAGAAGGTAATGAAGGAATATATGAATGACTAAGTATAGGTGAGGAAATTTACCTACCCAAAGTAGAGGAAGTATGAGGGACGATCGTGTTAATATTTGGGTGAAGTAAGTACTAAGGGTTAGGTAGGACAGATGGAATAGACCGGTCAAGGTATAATGTTGAATAAGGGAATGTGCTTGTCTTTTTCTCTTACCAGGAAGCTTGAAAATAAGAGGTTGTCAAGATGTCTGAAACGGGCGGCGCATCGGGTGCACCCAAGAAGGGTCTGACACTCGATGACCTCATTGCGGCCATCGACCGGCATAAAAGGAATCCGAGCAATATCCCAAAGGTCGATACTTTCCATTTTTGTGGGGAAAGAGTTTCGGAATGGCTGGAGCGGGTGAAACAAGCTTTGGTCGGGCGGTCGGACATTGTAAAGTTTCAACGCATCCTTCAGTATGTCCTCCACAGCTACGACCAAGAGGTGAAGAAAGTCATAGATGCAACCCAAGGTAGCTGGGAGAGGTTTAAGGAGGGGATGCAGAGGAAATACGGCCTGGGAGACGGGTTGTTCACTACCGCGAACCTTGAGGCGATGAACAAAGAGGATTTTACAACGATAGGGGCCTTTGTTCAAGAATTTAAGAAGAGGGTGCGGAAGATCCAAGGGATTTCAGAGGAAGCACAGTGCGCCATCTTCCTGGGGCTACTCACGGCATCGGAGGCCGTCGAGTTGACGAGACATGGAGGAGGTAGCACCAAGCTCTCTTGGGCCATCATTAATAGAGGGGTGAAATTGGGATGTTTGGACCAGGTCGAGCAACGTCAGGTACGCCTACAAAGGCAGAAGAAAAAGGAAAGAGATGCGACCGCTTCTGGGACCCCGGGGGTAACAAGGATTGTTACAGACGTATTGGCACAGCTAGGGTATGCGACAGTGCCGGTGGTGCAAAGGAGGGTGGTGACGGCTATCAAAGTGAAAGGAAAGGAGCCGGTGATAGAGGAGGCTGTTCAGGAGAAACTCTGGGAAAAGGAAGAGCCGGTGCCGCAGCACCTGACGAAGGTCCAGCGCAAAGTGTGTAATTTGGTGCAGGGCGGACAGGGATCTGGAAAAGCGCAGGCGCCTCAGGCCCAGGCAGCAACCCCTTTAAATGTGACGGCTCCATCATCTAGTACGGGTCCCTCGCAAGGTGGGACGCCCTCCTACGGACAGTGACCCTGACCAGTGATCAATGCAATTGTGCCATGGGGAAGTCCGCCGCCAGTAGCCGGACCGCAAACGAGTATGCCACCGCCCATCTACCCCGCAGCCCAGGCCCAGCCTGTGGCCCCGCCGCCGTCACCTGCTCCTAGTTCACAGGGCAGTGTGGCGGGAGGTGGGAACCAACGGCAATGCAATCAAGGCAACGGAGGGAGGGGTGGAGGAAGGCGGCGAGGCAAGAATGACGGCGGAAGAGGGAGGCAATGGAATGGTCAAGGCCAGGGGAACCAAGGCCAGGGGAATCAAGGTCAGGGGTACCAAGGCCAAGGGAGTCAAGGCCACAGGTACCAAGGCCAGGGGTACCAAGGCCAGGGGTACCAAGACCAAGGGAGTCAAGGTCAGGGGTACCAAGGCCAGGGGTACCAAAGCCAGGGGTATCAAGGCCAGGGGGATCAGAGAAGTCAGGGGTATGGAAGACCCCGTTTTGATTGGAGGACGGTCATTTGTCAACATTGTGACTAACAAGGCCACACTATAAGGTTCTGTAATATAAGACGGGAAGATGAGAGGAGCGGGCTGATTTCCTCCACTATGGATGGGAATATCTACGATCAGTTTGGGGAGGTCATTGACAGAAGGCTTGGAGGGGTTAGGGCGGAAGCCCAGCGAAGGGCGGCAGCTCGTCCACCACCCCCTGCCATGTTCAGGCTATGGCAGGAAAAGGAGGAACCACCGATTGGGGTGGAGGAAGTGGAGAGCGATGAGGATTTGGCTCAAGGGCTACGAGGAGGAAGTAAGACGGAAGAGCCCATAATCATCGAGTCAGATGACGAGGATGAGGAGGAAAGAATGGAGCCTCCGTCCGTCTTATTTGGGAAGATGGAGGACCTGCTGGATAAGATGGGGAGGTACCAACAAAAGTTGGTGGTCCTCTGTGAGGAAGTGAAGGGATGAAAGTCTAACATCCCCAAAGTGTTCCTCTATGACTACGGCCCGGAGTCAGCACCTGGGCGACCCGGAGTAAATGTGGTGGGGTCGTGCCCACAATCGGGGATGAGGGGAAGACCCCTCACTCCGCAGGCCCGGCTGGCACAGACAGCACGAACGAGGAATCAAGCCAAAGTCAGTGCCAGCCAAGAGCCTCCGAGGAGAGAACCCGAATCAGGGAGAAGGAAAGAGGTTGTGGAAGTAGAGGATGACGATGATGAAGAGGAAGAGGACGAGAAGTTGCGCAGAGAGGAGGATTAGAGAGCGGAACAGCGGGCAAGAAAAAAGGGAACCAGAGGAGAGGCCGAACCGGTCATACATGACGGACCACCCAAAAAGAAGAAATACGTGGTTCGGTTGGAAGAGGGATTTGACGTAGAGAGAGTAATTGACAGGCTGTTGGAAGGGCATAATGACCTCATGACCCTGAAGGAAATCCTAGTGTCAGCCCTACGACTCCGCGATGAACTGAAGGGGAGATTGTCGCGGCTCATGATACCCAATGTCCATCTGGGTACGATCCTGCCCAAGGAGGCTGAGTGGGCAGAGTTGGGGACGAAAATGGACTGGAAGTATGTAGCCTGCGGCACGGTGAATTTCGTGGTGAAGGGCTCCAAGTGTGTGGCAATGGTGGATACCGGGGCCGAAATGAACATCATTCGGGAGGTGGACGCAATTAGCTTCGGGCTGGATATAGACCGTTCTGACTGCGGTATTCTGCACGGAGCCAGCTGCAAGGCCGTTTTTTTGTGGGACAGCCTCGAATGTGCTTATCGAGGTTGGAAAGGTGAAGGCCAGGGCATGCTTCTTCATAATGCCGGACGTGGACCATGGAATCCTCCTGGGGAGGTCATTCCTAAGCAGGACGGAGACCGTGATGTTCAACAAACATGACGGGACTCTAATTCTTCTCTTATGCGATCCTGCCTGTAGGAATTACGAAATAATTACCTGCAGGAACATTGGGCCAAGGAGTATAAGGAACCGGCCCAATCCAGGATCATTCACGATCGAGGAGACGGAAGGGGAGCGTAGGAGGCTCCGGGCAGAGCCCGAAGCAGGAGAGAGGGTGAAAGCATTTTCCCTCAGCCTGTCAGAAGTTGGGAAGGCCATGAACCTAGTGGCCGCGCATGAGATAGCAGATCCGGATGCCATCCAGGCCTTGAGGGAGCAAGTTCTGAAATGCCCCGAGGCAGGAAGGTTGAAGTTGGTATATCGGCTCCCAGGCAGCGGAGGGCACCCCGCATCAACACAAACACAATCTGTGAGTCGGCCTTTTTTAGGGGACGACTCAAGCAGGGTTCCCAAAGGCGGTACAAGACGGTAGACAAGAAGTGCCACCCGGTTCCCGTTCTCGTTAATGAACGAGGAGTAGTTGATTATAGGGGAACCCGACTTCCTACTGCCTCAAGAGCGAACATTGATGGTGAAATTAATGAAGAGGAGGCATCGCGCCTATGCGTTTAGCGACGAGGAGCGTGGCAGACTAGATGTGGACAAGATACCTATGATCCGCATCCACACTATGCCACACGAGCCTTGGAACATGAGAGGGGCGCGATATCCTAACCCTGACGAGGAAAAGAAGGTGGTGGACTACCTCGACGGCAAGATAAGTACACACGTCGCCGACTATTCTAGTGGACCGTATGCATCCCCGTGGTTTTGCTTCATTAAGCCAAACGGGACGCTGCGATGGGTGCAAGATCTGCAGAGGTTAAATGCGGTGACCGTGCGAGATGCTGGAGGACTGCCAAATGCGGATGCTTTGTCGGAATCCTGTGCTGGAAGGCCTATAATTTCGCTTATAGACCTTTACTCAGGATACGATCAGTTTCCGGTCTACCCGCCGGATAGGCCGGTGACGGCTATGCATACGCCGCGAGGATTAATCCAAATGAACGTGGCCCCTCAAGGGTGGACCGATGCGGTAGCAATGATCCAACGGGCCATGATTCGGGTTATGCAGTCAGTCAGCCCCCATATTACACAGCCATACATCGACGATTTGGCGGTGAAGGGGCCGGCAGTGAAGGAGAGCGATGAAGTCTCGCCAGGGGTAAGGCGCTGCATCTGACTTTACGAAAACAACCATGCCAAGAGGAGGGAGGGGGACACGGCCGCCTCGGAGGCCGTTGGGAGCATCAGGAGGATATGAGCGACATGGGCCTCGCCATCGAGAGAGTACTCCGGTATACGATGATGGGGATATCGAGCTATTCCTGGACAACTTTTGGGATCATGCGAGGCGTATGGGCTGGACCGTGGCCCAGGCAATCGAGAGACTGAGGGGAGTCTGCAGATTCGAAGAGCCCGTCGCGCGGATCCATAGAGAGGCGACGACGAGGCAAGAGGTGGAGATGAGGATGGAGGAGTTGCGACCCTCGCCGGTGGGACCAGATGGCAGGCCGATCCGCCTGGAGATTGGAAATACGTCGGACTTCATCCCCGCATTTGAGTGGTTCATGCAGGGGCAGGGCATACCGAGAGATGATTGGATGCAGACGCTACCACTCTGGACCAGGAAGGCGGAAAGGCCGCTGGCTAGCCAAATCAGAGACATGGCCCGGGATTGGGAGAGTTGCAGGGCACATCTGAGAGAGGCCTTTCGACGGCCAGAGCCCCCCCAACCCAGACTCGATAGGCGTTAGAGGAGTCAGAGGCCGAGGGACCCTGAGCCCAGGGAGGTGAGACCGTCTCGAGGAGGACGGAAGGCCCTAGCCAGGAGAGAGCAGGAGCCAGAGGTTGAGGAGCGAGGGGCATACCTTGAGTGTAGGTTTGGACCAGTGGAGTTCCATCGTTTTACTGAGGGTGGATTGAGGAGGTCGCCAGCACACATACAGGAGGAGCCGCCGGTGTCTGAGGGGCCTTTGAGGGAGTTGAAAACGCATCTGGATATCTCTCAGTGGAGAGCGTCGCCTCGGGGTGAGGAGCATGGAGAGCAGGCAGAGGAGGTGCCACGAGAGGAGGAGCCACGAGAGGAGGTGCTACGGGAGGAGGTCCAGGATACTTAGCGGGAGAGAGGGCTGGGCGATGTGGGGAGACGTGCAGGGAAGGAAGTGATAGAGGTTGGAGAGGACACGCCCCCACAAACGTCAGCAGTGGGCTTGAGACTCGGGGATGCACCAGGAAACACTCGCCAGGCGGAGGAGAGGATGCAGAGAGAGGAGGCCCCATTACCTTCATCAGAAAAGGCCCCTTCGCTAGAAGGGAGGGCAGAAAGGAGGAGAGAGAGGGCAACTGTAAGGAGAGAAGCCTTGATCCCGATTGACAGGCACCTAGCAGCTCATGCCCTGGAGCACCCAGACCTGGAGGAGCCAGCACCTGCAGAGCCGCGCCAGGAGCCGTGCCAGCCCGAGAAGGAGATGGAAGCAGAGATCCCAAAGAGGGTCGACCTCCGCACGAGGGAAAGGGCGCCCGCTGGAGAGACGGCTGAAGAAAAGAGGGCAAGAAGAACCAGGCGGATAGATGAGATATGGCAGGAGAGGCAGAGGTTGGAGGCAGCGGGGGAGCTTCCGGAGCAGCAGCAGGAGAGGCAGAGATTGGAGGCACCAGGAGCACTCCTAGGTCAGCCACCCAGCGCACCAGCTAGGGCTCCGGAGATTCCAGAGATGTGGAGGGACTTCTGGGAGCAGAGAGGAGAGGAGCTTCCTTCGCCAGTCAGAGCCGGGTTTGGGGTGGCCAGGAAGGCGGACGAGAGGTTAGATCGTAAAATCAAGTTTCTGGCCAAGACCACTTTTGACCGGCACTTGTTATTGGAGGGCGATCTGGCAGGGAAGAAGATGAAGGAAGCAAGCCATGGAGTACGCCTGAAGGCTATGGAGATGGAAATTCAGGAACTCAGGGCATTGGTGGCCAGCCAGGTAGCTATCATCGAGAGCCTGAGGCAGCAAACCCAGGGAAAGGTGAACAGGCCAGAGAGCAGTCGGCAGGGAGAGCAGAGGCAGCCAGGACTGGGATTGCCAGGACATCCATCTGTGGCAGAGCCTCGCCAGGAGCCACGTATGGGGAGGGTTATCCTGGAGCCAGAGGAGGCGAGAGCACAGAGACAGGCAGAGAGAGAGACATTCGAGTTCAGAGCTTCTACCGAGTTCGCGACACTGCCAGTGGCGGTGGCAGGCCCAGTCGTATATTTGGCAGTAGAGGAGGGGCTGCCGCCATCTAGCATTGAGCCGGCTCAGGGCTCAGCAGAGGGATCCATGAACGTGCTCCTTGAGGCGGTGCATACTATGCAGGAGGATGTGAGTTTGTTTTCACCTGAGCAGAGGATAGAGGAGCCTCTTGAGAGAGAGATAGGGATTGAGGCAGAGGGTGCCATCGAGAGCGGGCTTCAGAGGATGGGCACGCCTGAGTATGGGCCAGAGGAGATTGAGGAGCAGCCCATGGCAGTGCCAGGATAGACACTCGAGAGGAGACCTCAGAGGTTGGGCACGCCTGAGTATGTCCCGGTGACAGGGGATTTGAAGAGCAGACTGGGGTCTTGGGCTACAGGATCTCGGTCTGGGGGACCGGTTTCTGGAATGGAGCAGCAGAAGGTCGTTAGTACCGCAGCTCCTCGATCAGAGCGGCAGGAGGTTGTCAGTACCTTGGTAGGATCTCCTTCATCGCCACCTCCTCAGCCAAAGAAGAAGAAGTTAAAGAGGAAGGTTGATCAGCTATGTTTCTACTGCAAGAGGGACGTGCATCATGCTCTGGACTGTCTCGAGTTCCTTGAGGATAAGGCAGCAGGGAAGGTCTCAAAGGTAGGGGGTAAGATGTATGATAGACAGGGTAGGATAGTAGAGAAGTCTGCAGATGGATTTAGGGCTCAGTTATATAGGCAAAACCAGGAGGAGTTGAGGAGGTAGGGCCGGTTTGTCTATGTAAGTGGGCAAGTATCTTGTGAGGCATCAGCTTAGGTTCTGTGTGATATCCTCTTAGACGAACTCTAGTATTCCTACTGAGATGGGGTCTTGAGGATTAGGGTGATTTAGACGAGGCATGTACATATTCAGGTGGCCTACGACCTGGCCTTTGAGAGACAGATCTGACATGTATTCTAGGGATAGTTGTCAGTGTGGGTTTGGTGTGGCTTGAGTTGAGTGAGTTATGATTTGGAGACATTTTTTTCTGTGTGAGACATTTTATTTCCTTGAGTGTATATCATGATGAGGTTTCTTTCAGGGACCATTCTTATATGTGACGATTACTTGTCTTCCTCACATGTATGGTTGTACTCTGATGAATGATGAGTTTGTGTGGACAATGTGTGAAAAACCTCTTATATGTCATGGGAACTGTAAATATGATTGTAAGCAAAACTGTCTACTCCTCGGTATATTTGTGCGACCTGCCCATGGGCAGCTGATAAGGCAGAGTATAAAGGGAGGAAGAGCAGCCCGTCTGTGAAAGGTTGTGAGAATTTTGAAGATTTATGAGCCCTGGAGGCTCAAAATGCTTACCATATTGATTATTGATTGCATAAGTTGTGATGAGGACCCATAAGATGGTCTCTCAGTAATGTTTGTTTATGATAAGCCCCCTTGGATTTTGGAAAAGGGGATATTTTGTGATGCTATATATTATGATGAGACCCCCTCGAGTTTTGAGAAGGGAAAGTTTGGTTTTTATGGCGAGACCCCTCGTGATTTTGAAAGAGGGGGTGTTTTGTTTATGATGAGAGCCCCTAGGATTTTTGAAAAAAGTGATGTTTTTTGTTGTTGGGAGACTCACCTTCAAATGGTGAGTGAGTTTGTCTGATAAGTGATAAAGTCTGACGAAAAAGGGTCATTTTTTGTTTGGAATGTTTGAGAAAGTCGCAATGAGTGCAGGGCAAGAGATGTCTCAGGGTAGGTGGCTGCTGGCTCTGATCAAGTCAGAGGTCACGGCCTGGTGGATTTAGCGGTGATTTTATTTGTAAGCGTGCGAAGGATGTCATGCCTAGTGTGGGAGGGCTGGTAAATGCCTTCGGACCCCTGCGTATTACGCAGTGAGCCAGTGATTTTGTTTTGCGACGCCCCGTCTAGCCACTGGTGCTAATCCTGAGACATATTGAAGAAAGGCCAAGCTAACGGAAAAGAAGTTAGTACCTCTAGGGCGTAACCTCATTGGATGGCTGCTAGCCGGCGCAACCTGGTTGCGGGACCTCGGGGTAAGAGTTTAAGGGGGGTTGCCCGCCCCAGTGAAATTACTCCACGGGATAGTGATGATTGAGAATTTTTGGAGGAATCATGATTGGATGCTTATTGGGAGGAAACCTATCGTTGCGTAACCAACGAGGGGTACTACCGTTAAATAACAATGCGGTGGACCGTAGTCCTGGTCCGATCGGCTAGGCTATGGTGGGCCAAAATGGAGACCTAGCCTTTCTGTACTAGACTGTAGAAAGAGCTGAGTTGATATTAAAGTATACATATATACGTATGTGTATTTGATTACGAGAGATTTTCTGAGAAGGAAGGCCGGAATGCCTTCAAAGGTCTCGGTTAAGGCCCGCATCCCTAGTTTTTGCCAGGACTAGGGACACCCAACGAGAAGCCGAAGGTTGTCTAGGACCGTGGAGAGGACAATTGGGAAGGTCTTTGGAACTTATGTTGTCAGCGTCCTAATTTCTGGGCGGTGAGAGGCCTGGTTAGAAGCCTGGCGGCATATAGTTGTGAAGGCATGGTTTGATGGAGGCCTCTACCCTGTGTTTGTCGGCTAATCGGATTGACTCATGTTTCGTCAGCATTTGGAATGTGGATGAATTTATAGCTTTCTGATTTGGCGAAGCGACGGGGACGTCGCTTAATATGGTCCGGTAAGTTGTCGGTACGAATACCCTTACAAGGGTATCCGCCCTGTTTTTTTTGCGAGTGACAGAAAATAGTTTTGGTTTAAAGTTTAAGTATAACGCACTAGGCGCGACTGCGTCTGTGACTTACGTTGACTGGATGATTGACTATAATAGAGGGTGCGTGGACGCACAGGTTTAAGGCGCGCAAGATTCTTTTCTGTTGTTGATCATAAAACCGGCGTGGACATTGGTAGTTTTGTTTAATGATATTATTAATATTTATTTATTAAGCAAGAACTAGGGATATCTCTTTTCAGATTGGTACTTTGACCGAGGCGAGCGTGTGTGCACGGACGACGGCGGCCGTGGTACGGCTTTGGTAAGTCAACGTGGACGCTGGGCGACATCGCGCATGGTTGTAGGCAGGGGTGAGGCTTAGGCCTATTCCCCTGGCCCTGAGCGCAGCGCCGCGCCGCCATATATGGCCCTCCGTGGAAATTTGTCTCAGGCTTGGGCTAGCCCTTTAGGTTATGACATTGGGTAGGTGATACGGAGGTTCGGGGATCGAGGCCGAGCGGCGACGGTGCAGGAATTTCAGAGTAACGCGAAGGAACCGAGGGGTCGAGGGCCTGGCAAGGCTATCCCCCTTGGTTTTGTCGTCAGCAACGCCGTATTGGTGGTGACAATTTCTGAATAATTCATTTTGGCGTCGTATGTCCATTACTTTTCTCTTATAAATATACTCCGGCGTGCCGTTGACTTGGACGGGACGCCGGACTTAGTGGTCGTCATGACAGTCAGGGGCCGTGAGTGCGGGCCTCGTTTAGTAGGTCCGCGGGCCGCGCAATTGCTAAGAAAGTGCGGCGCGGTCAAGGCTTGAGTTTGTAAAATGCGCTTGAGACAAAGGAGGTGGTAATGCTAAATATGTGGCCGCGTGGGGGTGTGTTGTATTCGCAGGGTGGCATGAGTAAGGGCCGCAATCTGTTTTCAGGACAGCACCGGAGTGCCCCGATAGTAGGATTTCAAGGACTTCGGCGACAGTCATATTCGTGTTCAAGTCTCCGGCGGGGGGCGAGTCGGTGGCATCGGGGCCGGGTCTCTTTGATAAACCAGTCGTTGTGCCTCGCCTCCGGCCCCGTCCCCTATGAGCATCAGGGCAGTCTCGGCTCAACACTACTCAGGGAGAGCGAGAGGGCATACCTCTGGATAGCGGGTGTGGGCCCGACCGGACGGCGCCAAGCATGCAGCGCGCGACGAACCTAGCCACGGGATTGCATCGGGTGCATGCAAAAGCAGGGTCGGAGTGGGGCAGCGCTGCACAGGCTGTGGACGTCGAACGGCGGGTACAGGCCAGAGGGAAAACGGACAGATGGCGTTGGACTTGGGTATAGGGGCGAAAGACTAATCGAACCGTCTAGTAGCAGGTGCCCTCCGAAGTTTCGCTCAGGATAGCTGGAACTGTTGAACAGTTTATCGGGCGGCGTGTGACCGGGTGCTGCGGCAGGGGTTACAGAGACAGGGACGGGCGGAGGAATCAACAGACATAGTGAATCCAAGTGCGTTTCAGCGCCGAGTTCAGTCGAAGAAAGCAGCTATGAGGACGGGGGTGAACGTAGGCGCCGACCGCCTGGTAGCAAGGAGAGAGATGGAACGAAGGTGGAGGAGGTAGGAGACAGGTGCTGAGGGGACGAGCGCCGGCTGGGTGCCGGGTACGGGAAGGCAAGCGGGGTAGGCAGGCAGGGGGGCAGCGGAGAACAGGTGAGCAAGTGAATGAACCTGACCCGGGAACCGTACCGGGGGCAGGTTAGATATGGCGGAAGACAAAAACGTCTGCCCCGTTCGTTCCTTGACGAAAACGAACGGGGAAACTTGCTGAATAGGGGTTTTGGCGCAGGGTGACCTCGATAGTGAAGTTAGAATAAGTAGAAAATAAGTAGGATTGGAGTTAGTAGGGAGTTAGGCTACGCGGTGGCTATGGCGGAGTGCCGAAGGGAAGGGAGAGGAGAAAACACAGATCTTACCTGTTTCCTAACGAGAACGGGTGAGTGAAGGGTCGAGACTGGCATTTTCGGGATGGGCGACCCCGGATCGGAAGGCAGATAGGCTAGAAAGTTAGTGTTTAGGGAGTTAGTGCAAAAACAGGTTTGCGCTGGGCTATGGCGGAGGGGAGAGTAGCGAGGCCGAAGAATCGAGTTACCCCTCGATTCTCGATAGAATCGAGTGGGGAACGACTAAAAGTAGAGGTTTTGGAACAAGGCGAATTCAATGGCGAAGATAGAATTGGAAGAGAGTTAGTAAGTTTGAAGTTGAAGAAAGAGTGAATTTAGACCGAAAAGCACGTTGGGTACATCCAGGAAGGAGAGAAAGCCACGAAAAAAAAAGGGGGGGGACGGATGGCTCGGTGATACGGACATATGGGGCGAATCTACCTACGATCTAGGAACAGGTTCAGTCGATTCTAGTACGGCCTATTGCTAGTAGTAGTATGGGGCGAGAGGTGAGGAAGGATACTTACCTGAGTGATTGATGTGTTGCTCAACCCGAGGGTAGAATAGCCGCTCTCCATCTCTCCGTGAGCATGGTTGAAAGTGGAATGTATGCGTTATCATTTTAACGGAGTGTTCGTTTAAAAGCCTTGGCCAGGTGTCGGCCGTTGAAGTAAAAATAGTAGGCTTAGCGACTGAGG